AGGTTCCCCCTCCGATGGATACAAAGGCTGCTTTCAGGGGCTCAGTTTCCCCTCCGATGTATACAAAGGTCGCTTTCTTAAAAACTGGGATCGGAGATATTGGCATCACTCTGTAGCCAATATCTATCCACTGAAGCGGGACAAGGAGCGTTTTCAGTGAACTCTTCTTTCGACTGCGGAGGGATTCAAAGCGGGCGCATCACGCTTGCGGCGGAGCTTCTCCTACCTGCTTGACTTGTAACCGACTATAGCCAGCTATCCGCCGCTACCGGCAGGGCCCAACCGCTGATGTCTATTGTAGTAGGTAGCGTCACAGATGGAGACTTTTTTTGCGGATTGGAGTGTAAATACCGGCGGTCATTGTTTGTTACTAGCAAATGCATTGAGGCCCACTGAAAAGACGTGAGAAGGACAGATTTTTCTAATTTGTAATGCATTTTAAACTTCCAAAATTTGATGAAGCGTTCTAGGAATAGTAATAAATTTGTGTTATTTGACGTCAATACTATATAAGTACACTGAATTTTTAGGGGAAACAACTGTTTTATCCTCCACTGACTTACACAACGGGCCGCACGAGAAGGCAGCCCTATTGGAAAGACCAGTTTGAAAATCTAACTGGTCAGACTGGTATTTAGACTGGTCAAACTGGTATTTGAACTGGTCAGACTGGTCTAACAGGAAATCAAACTGGTGCAACTGGTAGCCAGACTTGGCTGACTGGTAACCATATTGATCTAACTGGTCATCAGATTGCCCTCTAACTGGTCACCATATTAATCTAACTGGTCTCCAGATCGCCTTCTAACTGGTCGCCACATTGCCTTGTCCGGTCGCCATATTGGCCTAACTGGTCACCAGATTGGTCGAACTGGTCACCAGATTGTCCGAGCTGGTAAACAGATTGGCCGAACTAGTCCAACTGGTAACCAGATTGACCAAACTGGTCACCAGATTAGCTTACCTGGTCAAACTGGTTACCAGTTTGACCCCTCCTTCTCACTTTATTAATTTTACTTCCCATTTTGATTTATTGGCTTTCAAATATTTAGGGCATAATCGAGCGTTTACTTTTTACTATGAGATTCATCCCCTGAGCCGCTCAAAATACTCTCAGAGGTATGACATTGCTGGAAAAAAATCAACATGCAAGGAATATTTTCTATACACCAACTCATGTTTACAAACAAACCGGAGTGCCCCTAGCGGACGCCACCGGCGCCGCGCATGCGTGATCGGGGTGTGGGCAAGAAGCTCGACGTCGCCTATAAACAAACCATTGGAATGCGGTGTTGTCGGCGTCGGTGTGAGTCCCGGTGCCCTTTTTCGCGTTCGAATGGTTGATTCTACGTCTTCCTGGCGATGTCTGACTACTTGACCGGCGTTAGCGAAATTACCGAGGCTCAATACACCGCAAAACTTCACGTGACTAATGTGACATGAGGCGATTCATCCCGCGTGGACGCCGCAGTATGTACGGCAAAACCTGATTCGCATTATGAGATTTCGCTTGCAATTTTCAGTCGCGACGCCGCTCGGGCTACAAAAGCGTGAACCGTAGCTGAGATGGTCGACGTCGATACTGAAAATCGCAAGCAGAATCGGACCAAGTCAATTAGGCATAACAAGTCAGTGATGGCCACTGGTAACAATGATCAACATCTCCTTGTATTTACTGTTTACATCGAGCCTGTTTACCAACCTTCAAACAAGTCTTTTGAGGCTTGCACTTACTTCTTATCGCAAGTACCGGGCCGACAACACTTAGTCTACGGCCCGGCGTCGAGAGCAGACGACAAGCAGAAACGTTTGAAAGAGCAGACGACAGTTCGAACGATCAGGCGGCCGCTTGAACTTGAAGACGCACTGAACGTAGTCCGCAGGTGGTCCGCACAACTTGACGGTTTTCTGGCGCTAATGTTGCAACAAAACAGATTAATCTGGTGACCACAAGTATTCGTGAATTCAACCCAAAATGCTTCCTGCCCAAGCAATCGTTGTTCGACGGTGTCTGCTTTTCCCCTTTCACGGCACATATGCAGATTTTCGGACGAACCGAGCACATGAAAACTGACCTTCAAACCTTTCTCGACTCTTTTGGTACGGCCCCAGTCCCGGCGTTTTGACGAGAAGGGAAGTTTTTGTCTGGTTTCTTTCAAAACAACGCAGGAATACACGTCTGGCATGGGGACTTGTGCCCACAGCCCCAGACCGGAAGTGCGACTGACGCGTCACCACCGCGCCTTGACGTCACAGAGTTGAGTTGGTATATAGCTTAGGAGGTCACCGAGAAATTCCATACGTTCAAAACGGCCAGTGTAAAAGACGGAAACGCAGAGCTCGGAAGTAGTGATCGGGTTAGTGTGCCGTTGTATTGATGTTTGTATGTGCTGTGTATATGTATGCCGTCAATGTATGTTCAGCCGATGCTTGTAGTAGGCATATTGTGTCTACATTTGTGTATAATAAAGTGATCCGAAGCGGAGTGGTGGCGTTAACAAATGAAAATAGTTTTGTCGAACCAGTGTGACCAGTTCAACCACCAGGACCAGTCCAACCATCATGACCAGTCAACCAGTATGACCAGTTCAACCGCCATGACCAGTCAACTAGTTTGAACAGTTCTGACCACATTGACCAGTTCAACCATTATGAAACTGGTCAAACTGGAGCAATAACCAAGTTTGAAACTGGTACCAGTTTGAACTGATCTTTCCAATAAGAAGTGGAAGCCACGCCGTCATGCATACAGCCAGAAAGAGTTGGCTTAAAACGATACTTAGTTTAAATTATTCAACTACAAAGCGTTGCAGATTGTGTTTGAGGCATCATTTTCGCTTCCAAATTAAAACGAGCAATGCCCGATGACAAATATAATATCACTCCCGAAAGTAACTTTTCTTTTTTAAAACGAACTCAAAAAAACACCGTGTTCGTGTTATTTTAAGCAAAAGCGTGCTTTTCCGGGTGTAACGACGACGATTCGGAACAGTCGAGAGGATAAATTCCTTCAAAGGATGTAGACGCCTGATATGGCTCTGTAGTCGATGTAAGAATTGCCCTACACTCTTAAAAATCGGGAGCGTCTGACTCTCCGCAAAGCACTCGGAAGGGCCGAAACGTGCAATCTACAGAAGGCGCTCGTCGAATAACTTACCTGATCACATCATTGAAGCCCCCCCCCCCCCCCCCCCCTAAAAAAGAAAAAAAAAAGTCTGCACTCGGGAACTGAGCACGATGAAGCCCTTCTGAGTGCTTTGTGGGAGAGCAGACCCTCCAGATTTCTTATACTGCAGAACGGTCATGCTGTCAGAAACCGTGACGCCCAAAATCTGTGGTGAACGAGCTGTGCACATGTTGCATGCGTGTATGTAATATCACGGGACGTCATAAGGTAACATGACTCCGACGTCAGACGACGTGATGGTTCCATTGACCCCACGGTGTGACATAACGCCACACGAAGTCATTGGGCGCGTTCACTGGAGACTCCCTGACTCCGACCCGAGTCGCTCCCAGAGAGCCTCCACTAAACAGGCTTTTAAAGCAACTCCGGATGCAGTCCGTGCCCTCTATATGAATTTCCGGTTTTTGTCTTTCCGTTTGATTTCCTTGGAGAACACTGCATGCCGGCCGGCACGCCTACAGAGCAGAACGCAGAAGACGCTAATCTTGCGCTGCAGCTGTTCAAGGGGCCAAAGCTTATGGCTTTGTTTGCTCTTTATAACTCCTGAAATTCGGACTGAAGCGAGTGCAACTTCTGATAAGCATGCCTGGATTCAATTGACTTTGTCCATTGTCAGTAACCGTTCTGAGCGCTATTTTGCTTTCTCGTCACTTCAAAAACAATAAAAAAAAAGCCGTAAGCAAAGTCGTATGGTAACGTTCTGAGACTGTAGTGCGCACCGCATCGGAAAGCCGAAGCTGCGCTGTTTTTTTTTTTTTTTTTTTTTTTGTTTTTTTATGCTAAGCGGCTATCGAGTCGTTTAGTGAAACTACCTCAGCAACAGATATCAAACGCAACGTACTATTCAAACAAGAACGGACGCTTTTTCAAAGTTGTCTTTGCCGTAAACGCACATTACACGAATGCGATTGAAAGAAAAGACGAAACATTTGATGGACACCAGCAAGTGGAAGTAACAAATAACGTTTACAAAGGTACCGTGCTTACTCGTGGCAACAAAAACGAAGAGATCGGCATAAGTACGCAGACGGTTAATTTAACGCACTACACAAGAATACCAACACATTCCGATTTCACCACAAGGCCGCACGATGATACCAATCGCGTTTAATTGCTTCCGCAATAATACATCTATCCTGAAATGCGTCGGCTTATGAGATACAATTGCCGGACGAACCAACAATGCCAAAATGGCTAGCACAAACACGTTCGAGCCGCCCGCGATCACCGTCTGCTCTCGGCGACACCAGGCGGAACGGCGTCACATTATCAGAAGTATCATTACTTGATTCCACGAGTACCGAGTCCGAGGACGAAGCTCCGGAGTTTGACTCGAGTCACGAGCACGTGAAGTACGCGTGGCTCGTATAGTCGAAGGAGTGACTCGAGTCATGACTCCAAGCGGCTACTAAATAAACCACCAATTGTCTGATGATGACGTCGGAGTGTCAAATGGTGCCATGACGCCACGGGACGTCATGTTGTGATGATGACGCCATGACGTTTAGTTACGTTATCATGACGTCTTGTGACGTCGCAACGTCGTGGTGACTCGTCACGACGTTATTACGATGATATGACGGCGGAATGAGTTTCTGTCACGTAATGAGGGCGTCACGATCTCCAGTGACGTCACAGTGTTTTGCGACGGTTGTTACTGTCGCTCTTCACATAGAACTCGGCTAATAAAACACGTATTGTGTTTAAGTTGCTCCGATTCTGGTATGTATGCTTATAAAAGTATGATCCTTCATGTTTCGAAGAGGTTAGGATCCAACTGTTGACAAAAACAACATGAAACGTAAGCACTTACTTATAGAATCTCCGTCGTCCCGGAACATTTGTCCACGTGCGAGGCCTTGACGATCAGGAGCAACCAGCAGCCCCAACGGGTTTCGACGACTGGTCGAAAAACGAAACGAAGCACCAAGCCCTGCATCTAACTTGTAACAAAGCACATCCGACGGCCAACCGAAATGGCTGCGAGGCACACTTGAAGAGGATAACACATAGAACGTGCCAACGCACGTGTATAAATTTTTGCTACATCCGCGGTTTGTGCTCGGGCTTTGTGTTCGTCTGGGGAGTGTTGCTTTGTGTCGCCTTGGGAAGGGGACGGGGGGGGAGGGGGGGGGAAGGGGGGGAGGGTTAGAGTATATAGTTTGTTTTTCATCTTTGTTTTTTTATGCTTTCGTGTGTATGTACTAAACACCCACTCGGTTGCGGGTTTTAAACTTTCTGTCTAGCCTTGTTGGAACTTTCGCGAGGACGGCATCGGATTCCCTCTGCAGAGAGGATGCGCGCGTGGAGCGGGCTGAACCTCGCACCACGGCTTGTCTCGACGGAGACGATTTACGACCACACGGCGGTCGAGATGTAAACTTCGTACCCGCAGCGGCCGGATGCAGCCGCGAAGATCAACAACTGGGAGAGTGGAGATGGACAGAACGAAAGCTGGAAGGCTAGCGATCAGAGAACGAGAAAGTGGCTCGTCGGTTTCGAACGTGTGTGTAGTGTGTGTAGTTTAAAATAAAAGTGTTGGGGTTTGTTGAGACTGATCGATATCACGGAACGCCAAGAAGCAACAATTCCCTCAACAAGCCTTGCACGCTGCAGTGTGGGAAAACCTAAACAGTGCAAATATAAATTAATATTATTATTATTATTAATCTGAATATTTCATTATTATTATTACTATTATTATTACTAGCGCATGTACATACGTCTGCAAACTCGAAAAGAGCATACGTTTATTGTTCTCATGAACACGTAATAAGCCCATCACTGCGAGCAATACATTGATCTCCTCGAAGGAGGAAGCTTGAAAAATTATTGGACCTGAAAGAGCAAGTGAAGGGTCATGATCCTTATGCCTCCACAAATCGCATTTTCATTAGCCAAATAGTATAGTGAGCGTCTCCATTTACTAGCATCATTTTATTACCGCCGTTATTGGCTGTCTTTATGTTCGGCGGGAAAGTAAGCTCGAGGAAATTCTTAGGCTGTGTCCTTTTAAGACTGCTAGATATGTGCAATCAATATTTGGATCGCTGTAAAATTATGCTTAAAACACTTTGCCCGCATTTAGTGAGCGAACGTTTTCCTCAAAGTTGTAGTTATACGTGGTCCATTTTTTGCCCTTGTGTTTTTTTTTGTTTTTTTTTTTGGTAGGCCGAAACTGCATTTCTCACAATTTCTGTTATACAAATTCGAGGTAGCAGTCACAGCATTCGATGTTTGGTTGCCAATGGCTTATTAAGAAAGTTCTCATAAGGAAGTAGATATTTTCATGCATTACAGATGTCGGTGATGTATCAAGAGAGCCATGGTTGACTAAACCTTTTAGAAAATAAATATGTGCTAGAGTGCATGATAAAGCACAAAATATCAGAGGCACCCTCGAAACAGACGTTATAGACGTTTTTTAAGCGCTTTAGACGCAAATACGAGTTTAAAGCTAATTGAAAGACAGCATAGCGGCAGTAAGTGCGGGATCAAGTTACAGAATAGAAAGTTTTGCGAGTTGGTATGAATCCATTTTGAAAAACAGCGCAAATAACATACCAAAAAGAAGGAGAGAACACACAGGACGAGGCGCTGACAATCAACTATATATTCAGAATAGACACAGAGACACACAGGTCCTCGCGGGAATTTCTCTGTGCTGCTTCTGAATTTATAGTTGAAAGTCAGCATCTCGTCCCGTGTGTTCTCTCCGTCTTGTCCGTGTGTAATTCGCGCTGTTTTTTAAATATGGATCAAGTTCATTTTGACGGAATCCTGGTTGGTTGCTGCGGAACTAATCATAGTTTGCCACAGTTTATTATGGCTTGGAATGCTTCTCAAAATTAATGTTTAAGGGATCGTCTACTGAGCCTAAATTCAACCCTTGTTTCTTTGCCAATCGTTTGGATCTACACAGAACAAATATTTCTTTAGACGTTGAAAACTCCTACACGGCATTGTGCTGTACGAGCTAGAAGTCGCTTACCTTTTGCGTCCACTGCCATGTCAGTTTTGACGTGGCGTCACAGTGCCATAAAGGGGGAAGGGCGGACCGCCCCGAGTGCAGCGCTTTCACGTTATCGAGATCAGGGAGGGGACGGGGGGGGGGGGGGGGGGGGGTTGTCGCGCGGGCCCCGCCAGAGCGTTGGGAGGGTGGGGGGGGGGGGGGGGGTAGGGGTAGGAGTTCGCGGCGTCCCTCGCGAGACCGGAGGGAGGGGGGGGGGGGGGGGGAAGGGTGTCGCGGCGGGCTACCTCCTCGGGTGTCGCTGACCCTAGCGACGCCACTGACACCAAATCGAAAATTTCAGAAGAAATGGAAAGGCAAAAAAATGTTATGTAGTTCCCTAATGAGAGTAACTCGTCTGCTTCTTGCGCAGCGGTGGCGGTGACGTCAGAACGATGCCGAGCCCTGATTGGCTTTGATCGAAAGGATAGTGTGCAGGCCTCTATGCTAGATGCCTCGAGGTCTACCCACATTGTTTTAGGGCGCAGCGCTTAGGCACCCTTTTCCAGTTTGAGCAGCGTTGCCGTCGGCTTAATTGAGCGTTGCAGTGTGGGACGTTTCCCATAGCGATGTCAAATCTGACGTCACGTGACATCGCACGTGACACTACCTCAACCTTGAAAAACGTTTTCCGCTAAATTTATTGGGGAAATTGACGTCTCGTGACCTGAAAACCAATTCAGTTTCTCCGCTAAATTTATCAAAAAAATTTCTCTGAATTTCCCGCTAAATTTAGCAGGAAATTCAGCTATTTAGCTATTTAGCTTTAAAACTAGGAGCTCTGCAGATTAAAGCTACGCGATTCATTTGTCAGGAGCACTCCACCTTCACAAGTGTCACAGACTTAAAGAGAAGCTTGGGCATAGACCTTTTAGAGATTCGGCGGAAAATTGCTCGTTTTATGTTTTTTTTTCATCAAATATATTACAACGGATCATTATTCGAAACACTTCTGTGCTCACAGGCATGGTTAATAACTCCTAGACTTGATCATTCTTTCAAACTGGAGCTCATTATGTCACGTACTAACCTGTTCATGTTTTCTCTACTCTCTTTAGCTATAAAGGAATGGAAGAGTCTCTCCTATTGTGCTGTGGTTTTATCTGACCCGAAATTGTTTAAACAGAGTTGTGAAGAGTTGTTTTGCTTACCTGCTTGGGGTCTATGACGGTTTTCGAATTATTGTTAAATTCAGTGCTTGTACTGTTCGAGTTCCACAATGTGTGTGCAATTCATTGCACGCTTTCCTCTTCTGTACACTTTGCCTTTTTTTTTTGTTGCATTGGTGAATAAGTTTTTTTTTTCAGTTTCCCATATAAGTATTAATCAAGGCTTCTCCTCCATTCTTGTAATCCCCCCTCATGCAATGCATCAATAGATGCCTTTGAGGTCAAGAAATGAAATGAAATGAAATGAAAAAAATGCGGGTAAATTTCTCGCCCTATTTAGCGGAAATATTTGTCCGCTAAATGTAGCGGTCAAAGTTTCGCTTAATTTAGCGTGAAATTCAGCGAAATCATTTTTGCTAAATGAAAGGGGAGCAGGAGAAGAGGAGGGGAGGGTACGGAGTGGTAGAAGGAGCATACCTTCCCTCCTCCTCCTTAAGAGCTGCGCTCTAATTCCCCATTCCATAGAATTGTAAACATCTTTAGTTTCTTCAATCAGCAGATAAAGAGCTTGGCCTGCTGACATCCTCGCAGCCCCTGTGCAAAAAGCAGACAAACTTGCTCTCCGCGTATACCTTTTTTAGAAGTTCCAAAAGGCCGCACACCAGCCTCCTAACAAATGACGAGAATGCTCATGTCCCTAGACACTTTCGTGGGCGAGAGAGAAGGAAGGCGCAGTTGCTAACCAACATCGCCCAGGTAACACGTCCACAGTGCTGTATTTCTTTCGTCACCTTCCGGGGGCGATCGCGGACCGCAGCTTAGACACGAGTGCTTCGTCAGTATTCGGCGGGGATTCATTTCCTAACTCAATCAATACTAGCGTCATCCGAACACTGCCGCAGTACTCAGATAAGTGCCCCGCGCTCGTCCGACACTACCTATACTTCGTTTCAGCTTTGGTCCGAGCGCAGCCGATATTATGAGCGGAAGGGCCAATCAAACAGCGCAAAAAACGCAGCGTCATGGCATGCTTTCTGTGCCTGATAAGACTAGCCGGCGGAGGAGCGCGCAGAGACACGGCGAATATCGGCTCGTCCTATCAACTGAAGAGAGCACGCCTTGACGTTGTGCCTGTTTCGCTGTTTCATTGGCCCTTCGGCTCATAACATCGGCCGCGCTCGGACCGAAGCTGAAACGAAGTATAGTATATTTCAAGCCCGCTTCACTAGATTTTTACGTTATCGCAGTGAGATCGAGCGAAGACACCGATTTGACACGACTCGTTCGGTTCGGCCTCGCGTCCAATTAACGCGTCGAAGGTCTATCGGCATCGGGCTTAGGTCCGATTGCCCAGTTGTCGCCATTGGACAATGATGACGTGCCACGGAGGAGGAGGAGATCGTTGACAGGCCTCGATAGATCTAGGAGGTGCTGGCATGGCATCCGGAAGGTGACATCGAAAGTAGGGAACTCCGAACTCTGTATCTAGGAGGCGTTGTGCCTACAGTTGCTCGCCTGCCTCGATCTCACCCTGGCCAGTGTTTTCTCGTGTCTCCGTCGCCTCTAAGGTTGTTCAAAGTTGCCTCCGCCGTCTGGTAGAGCCGTTTCCATACATATTGTTTCCAGCAATCTCTTGGGTACTGCAGAAGGCGCTACATGTTTTACAAAGAGGTTCGTTACCTCTCCGTCGTGGTGAGCCCCGGTTTCTGCGCCGGGACGATGGAGCCTCCCCAAATGAGGGTGTTCATGTGAGTGAAGGGGGCCGGAAACGACTGGTATGTACCGCTTGACTGGGAAAATATCGTTCCTCTATCGATGTCGTACCAAACGCCGGCAGGGATGTAGGCGTGAACCTCAGTCTGATTCTGAAAACAAAAAAGAAGAAATATTTAATGATAACGTTGTTTTCTAGGGTGCAGCTTTTAGACGACTGCTTCTGGCTTCAGCAGCTTCGCCGTCGGCGTCGGCGTGACCACAGGCGATGCATTATGGGACGGTTCCCCGCTAAAGTTAGAAGGGAAATATTCCCTCTACATTTAGCGAGGAATTGTTCCCGTTAAATTTAGCGGGAAATCAATTTTGACGGAAATTGATTTCCCGCTAAATTTCCCGCATAAAGTCGATCGACATTATGGTTTACCTTTTAATAAATTAGAAGAGGTTGTACTTCCCGATATGCTTTTGAATGAACAAAGGCCTATCTGCTGAACCGCACACAGTTTGTAGAACGTAATCACTTTATAGTCCTCATAACCTACACGTTTTGTCCGGTGTACTACAGAGCTCCATGCCTTCCCCCTTACACAATCGTTTTACGCTAATAACATTCCTGAAAAATACGATTAATGTAATACCATAAACCTTCTTGAAGATAACTGCATAATTTACCCTGTTACCAACTGTTTCCTCCCAGAATTTATTGAACGAAAGTTCTCTACTCTAATGCGCCCATTTGGGGGTACCGAAAAGGGACGCTTAAGAAAACAAAAATAATTTTGGTTGCTATTGATTGTGTCATGGACTTTAAATGTTTTTGCAATATGGGTAATGTAGGTATAGCTGAAAACGTCTAAAAGAAACAACTCGAATAATATCTCGGCATTCGGCGTCCTTCTACGCAATATTTAATTCCGAAAAACACCTCCGTCATCGTTTTTTTTTTTTTTTTTATGCGCACACTTCTTCGCAGCATCCGATAAAGTTGCCCGCTGAGATATACTAACTTACGGGGTACAGCGCCGGGTTGAACATCAGACTGCCTCCCCAAAAGAACTGCTCGTCGACATCGTGTGTTTTTGGGTCTTCCGGAAACCTGCGTGAGCAACACGCATCAGGAAGACATCGAGGGCAATCCAACAATATATATCGCGAGCGTCACTGCGCGTTGAGGACACTCTGGCTTCTCCCGTAATTCATTATCTTATTCAATGAGGGAGTCTGCAGGCCATGCTTAATGAGAGCATGTAAATTGGAGTGAAACGACTGGTCAGAATGTAAACACAATCGCTGAAAGTAAAAAGAAAATTGATTGTATCTCTTTTTTTTTTTTGGCATTTTGATTGGCGATTTGTTCTTGGTCATTTTTCCTCTGAAGTCCATTAGTTCCATTGGCTTTGGAGCTCCATTAAAAGGCTAAAGACTCGCTATGTACTGTGTTTCTTAAATCGTGAGCGACTATGTTATATTCACTTATAGCTTAAAAAAAAAACGGAAGGTTTTGCGGGTTCCCGGCTATTACTTATCGCTCACTAACAACAACATGGCGACATTAGTTGATAAAACACGCGGAAGAAATAATCACGAAGCAAAAAGCGTCCATGGGACGATTGAAAAAATCTAAAATGAAATAATTGTTGCCAAAACCACTGCTGTGATTGCCTTTGAAATGCGATAACCTTGTGCACTTCGTTGTTTTGCGAAAATATTTTTTAATATTAAACTGCTTAGCAACTCTGGGCATTCCAAGAATGTTTTTCGTCGGCTTCCATAAAGTCTTCAATTGGATTTAAAACAAGCTCACATAGTTTCCTAATATTACTGTGTAATTGCCACGAACGGGCCTCCCGCGACCAACCAACGACTTTTGTTGTTGCACCACTGAAATTAAAATGTTTATTTTTGTTTTAATCTGAGTGTAAAAACAAATATGTTCATGAACATAGTTAGATCTTCAGTAAGTGCATTCGTCGTTCAGAAGTTAATGAAGTGTTTTTTTCATTGCGTATAGGAGCAAGAGCAAGCTGTGCCTTTTGCGTTAGCGTTTGCGTGCTCAATGCTATACACACGCACGTCGCCGCTGTGTGCCAAGTCAAGACGCAGTTTGGGGGCTCCGCGCGCGCTCAGTGTGAAACACGCAAGGCTAACGCAGACGCAAAGTGCTTGCATTCCCTCGTAAACACAATGCTAAAACTCACTAATGTTGCATCTTACATTATTGGGGCATAATTGCTGTCTTATTCGTAGTGGCAGCGAGTATATAACCGATGCCTGCCACCTGCGTCATTGGTTATAAACAAAGCCACGAACGCGGAAATGCGTAGGGTTTGCTCAGAAATGATATTGTATATTATAAGTAGGGTGTGTACTTTCGGGTGTTTATTTGTGACAAAAATCGGTGGATGTTTTTCGGTGTTTATTTATTTTCAAAACACCGGTGTATTTCGGTGAAACGTCTCACGACGAGGCTAAAACCGGTGAATATTGGTGAAAAAAAGCGATTGATCATAGACAGAGAGTTCCAATTTTATTCACATAGTTCATACACTTCTTCTCTAGTAAGCCACTATTTCTCACACTGGGTTATCATAGTAGATGCAAGCATACTTTCATGCTTGCATCTACACGCAAGGAACGTGCTGCCGTCATGGTTGCACATTCCTTGCGAATGGCAACCCGCAATTATGAAAACGAACGCTCCTGTGCGACACGGACGTTGGCAGTGTCTTCCAGGAACCACAGCAACCTCTGAATACATGGCTTGCACCAACATCACTTGGCCAGACACAATGAGGAAAAGGCACGTGAGAGCCTACCCTCCACTGTGTTAAGTTTTCCACAAAAGGGGGCCACGGGAGACACAATAGGGGAAAGGCGTATGAAAACTTAGATTCCACTGCGTTCACTAGACGCTTTTGTCCCCCAGAAAGGAGGGCGGACTGGCGCCACCTCCAAGCCATGTATAAACACTGGCAGAATGCAGGATCCACTTTTATATTTGAGTCACCTGAGGATGTTTATTGCTATATTTTAAATAAAACCATTCTTGCATTTCTGACACCGAATGAAGCTTATTGAGGTTTTCGTTTCGAACTGAAAAGTCTGCGTCCTACATATAAAGTTGGCAGTGAACTTTAACAGTGTCTGTAGGTCACGTGGCGTTAATTCCACAGCTAAATTTAACGGGGTAACGAAATGGGTTCATAGATTATGCGACGTCAATCTTCTTAAATCTACTGGCTAAATCGTATTGATGTGTCACGTGTTATCAGGTTACTTGACGTCTTGTTGCCCGCTAAACTGAAGGTGTTTAGGCCACGTGACATCTATTTTCCAGCTAAATATAGCGTTGAAACTCATGCGGTGTTCGACCACGTGGCATCAGGTCCCGAGGTTAATTCTTCCGCTAAATCTGGCGGTGTAACTGAATTAGCGTACAGGTCCCCTGACATAAACTTCCCCGCCGACATTGGCGGGGAAACCTAAATGGTGTGTATATCACACGGCACCAGGTCACAAGACATCAATTGACGTCACGGGACATAAACAGAAATTTAAATTCACCCTTATATTTCGGGGGAATACACGGACGGATGCACGGACGGGCAAAGCTCTGGAATCGGGAGGTTCGGTGAAAAAGCATCGCATGCCTTATAGGGGCCCTCCAATGATTTTCGAGCGTTTACTCTTTTTGGATTACTTACGTCCTTTGTGCTTTGGTCGACCTAAGAGAAAAGGTATGAACTGTAAAATATTAATGTATCACATTTTAATTCGCCCGGACAAAAAAAAATAAATAATGGCTGTACGGAGGCGCCAAGCACTGTTGAACTACGCTGCTCGTGACGTCATGGGCCATGAATTTTCCGATTGGCGAGAGCGGCCAAATTATTTTCGAATGGAAAATAAAGCGTATGATTTCGTAAAATGTCGTTATTTTTCCAAGAGGTTATTTGTATTGAGCGATTGACGCTATAAAGTAAAGATGGAAAGTTTCAAAAGTGCGGAAGCTGCAGACAAAAGAGAGGCACTCCTTCGACGTGCCCGACTTTAAGCTGCGTAGCAGGTGCACAGAGGCACCAACGCTTATTACACTAGCAGACGACAAGTGATACTTAAGAAACTGAGTTTCTCAAATGTGTGTGTGCGACTTGTATGAGACTAAGTACAAGGTCCACCAGTCTGTTCGTCCTACTAGTCGAAACGGCCTCGGTGGTAGAGTTTAAGGTGACGAACTAAGAGCGTCGTTTTCCGTGCAATGCGAGGCGGACAGAGACTCTTGGCCAGAAATTTTTCTGCGCTTTCGTGAACTTTGCTCACATGGCACGACGCCCTGATCCGCGCTTTTCTTCAAAATTCGCAGCGCCAACGCCGGTAGGCCCGGTACATTCCTCGGTAACGGCGGACGAGCCCGGCACGGGTAGCGACTAACTTGCACAACGACAGCCTCGCAGAAGCGGCCATTACCATACTCGCAACAAATTGAAACCTCCTAGCTCCAATCGTTGAATGCTAGCCAACCACGTCTCAGAGTCAAAAGTTTGGGTTGATTTTAGATTTTTTTATATATTGCAAATTTGAATTTCTAATAACGTTCGATACACGACAAATTAAAAAAAATCTCCTCGGTGTTTTTACGTTTAATGAGCTGCGTTTCAGCTCAGATATCAGATCGGTCTAAAAATAGTTCTAGGGCATCTTTAAAACGTGATGGAATTAACCTGAGACATGGGTAGATAGAAATGAAATAAAAATAAAAAGTGGTCTGCACAAAGTTTTGACAATGAAATATACTTTCGTTACTCATTCTGTTTTCTCGCCAGTGTTGGCGGTAACCCGTTACAAAAGACGACATCCACGGCAACCTTTTACACTCTTCTGTAATGTAGTATCGTACTGGCTACGTGTCCAAAACAATAACGAAAACGTACTTTTATTAGACAAAATAATAACAAAACGTATATTTCAATTAGCAGGTAACGTAGTTACGTTACTCTTAAATACGTGACCCATTGTGTTTGTGTTTTTAAATTTTTTCAAGACTCAAAAATAATTACACTTTAATTTTTTTTCGTTTCTAGGTGCCAAATCATATGAATACTGGTACTCATCCCGGATGCCTTCAAAATTTGTTTTTCAAGGTTGGTTGGTTTTGGCGTTTTTTGACGCAGCAGCAGCGAGGCTATAATGCATCAGAAACATTGTGTAAAGGACACCTACATTTTTTTAAAGACTGACTAGAGCCTCAAAGCGAACCCTACTAGGAACTGGACTGATATTCTCCGCGGCATATTAATTTCTTTAAAAACAATTTAAAAAAAAAAATTGTCGAGAATGGGACGAGAGGTTCGTCACCCTGTAAAGGGACCAAGCGAAATTATTCATGTTCCCAATAAAATATAAAAAAACAGGTTCGACGGTTCTCTTCAAAGTGTGGACAAACTATCAAAATGTAAAGTATACTTAATGGTTGAGAAAAAAAGTCACAGGCCGGTTCACTCTTCCTACGTGAGAAGTAACTGTGAGTAAGGTAGGTACGTCCTATTCTCAACCGGCATAAAACTATCTGATAAAAACACGCGCCGTGTCTGGCACTGCGCCACTCACTCAGAATGGGTTTATATAAATGGAGTTGGTTTTATAGATTGTAATCAAATCCCTCTGCCAGGCATATTTTATTTGCCTTTTAGTGGTACTTGGTAATCGCTAGCAGGAATGCTGTAATAGTCAATTGTCCTATGTGCACACGCAGAAGCTGCACGCTCAGCTAGCTCGTTGCCACCAGTGCCATTATGGCTAGGGACCCAGCAGAATTCTATCTGTACTTTTACCAGTGCTTGTGTTAGTGCATTACAAAGTTGCACAAGCAGAGTGTGGTTCCAAGAAGTTGAAGAGTTGAGTGCTTTGAGTGAGTTCAGAGAGTCAGAGAAAATGACACATTCCATATCGATGTTTGACAATGTGGTCAACTGCAGTTATCAGACCATAAACATCGGCAAAGAAAAATGAGGACTTTTCGTGTAGCCTTTTTACAGATTTGCAGCCCTCGCCGATAGCGGCACAGTCAACCTAGTCTGTGGTTTTTGATACGTCGGT